ATTTTGCTATTTTTTTTAAATAAATATAGACGTAACAGTTATTCGCTCAATAGTGACGGATATATCATTATTGTCAACTGAACGATTTGTAACTTTATTTCCATTCAAGTTTCATGCAATTTTCTTTACTCAATACTCCTTGAGCTTTAATTTCGCTAATTTTTCCCGTTCTTTACGCATATCGAGGATAATGCCGCGCGTCACGGCGAAGTGCGAATCGATCAATCGCTGCACGTTTCACGCGTCAACGAGAAATGACATCGCGTCAGTTCTGCGACGTAATTACCGTGGCGACTGGCAACGCGACCTATTAAAACTAAATCAACTTCTCATTAGGCGCGGCAATAAGTCGATCTAGCCTTCGAAGACCCTCCAGGCGGCATCTTTTTTGCGGGGTGATGGCTACGAAAAGCAATAGCGAAGCGCTGGGCTACGTAATGTTAATAAACCGTAAACGCGCCGTGCTCGTTCTTTCGTCACAAATAGGATCTTAATTAAGAGAATCGATCGAATATTTCAGTGACTTAATCTTGGCTTCATCTTCAATCATTTTCTGCACAAAAATTTTCTTACGTACGAGAGGGAACATCGCAGTTATTGAGAATTGATTATACCTAGAGCTAAATCGGGATTGAAAGAAGGCAAGGAAGTCATTTTGACTTATGCAACGGGAAATTTTTGATGGTATTGTTTTGCGATGCTCGGTAATAACACTCATTGTCAGTGATATCACACAACATATACCTAATGTATGCCGCAACAATGAGCGCACATAATTTACTGTCTACAGCACTTTGTATAGAATACTGAGAATAGCACAGAATACTGTAGACACAGTGTCTGTAGAATAGTACAATTTGCTTTATTACACAGCGTCATTAAATTTAAACTTTAAGTCACTTTTTAAACAGTGGGCCTCTTTAAAAGGCAATGCATATATCCTTTGATATCCCAAGTACTTTTGCTCCACCGTTGAGAGCCGATGCCGTACGACATCGTTCTGCCGGAAAGGATTAAGAGAGCAAAGGTATATCCGCCGGTTCTCTCCATATCGACGATCGCGAAAGGTTTGTCCTGTGCCGAGAGTTGGCACTCGGAACGCGCCGTGCCACGAAGGACTAGCCCGAGCAATGAAAATTCAATGACGCGAGCAATTTGAGCTCGCGGCGAGCAGCTCGCAAGCTACAATCTGAAAGTATAAACGGTAGTTGTGCGCTGCGCGCGCGCGCGAGCGAGCTTTCTCTCTTTCTCTCCCTTTCTTACTTCATCTCTCATCTCTTCGTCGTATTCGCTCAGTGTTTCTTGCCCTCTCCCGTCTCCGTCTCTCGTTGCTCTCTCGCTACCACAGTGCTCACATATACTGCGTGGTCGCCGGTGGTTGGCTCGCACAGAATAATCGCGTAATTTGCGTGTAACGATGCAATTTGTAGTTATGGCGACCCGGCTCTTTTTCCGTCTTCTTTTTTTTCCCCCCTTCGCTCGTTCTTCGTTTTTGCCGGTACCGACGACATCGACGTCGGCAACGACAGGAATAACGGCAGCGACAACGACACGACGACGTCGAACACCAAGGAGCTTAAGCTTTAAAGATGAGAAGGACTCGTAGATTTAGTACGAACCTGAATCGCCTTTGATCTCTCTTTGATAGCGAGCTTATTTTCTCATTTAGCATCGAGGAAAATGGAGAAGCCGGAGTCGCAATCGTTAGTTTAGGAGTCGCGATAATAACTTTGATCTTCATTGCAATCGTAATTTTGGGTGTATTAACTGATGAAAAGTATTTTTTGTACTCTGTACAAGTACAGAGATTAAACGATTTACAAATTTAATTAGTATGATCTTAATTACATCAATGTTTATCTCAATTTTTATCGATACTTTTTTAATTTATTTTGAATTGTTAAAATTGCATTAAATATATTTATATTTCATCAAAATGTTTTAATTTTTTTTATTTATAGCTTGATAAAGAGTGACCATTTCATCTCGATATTATGCTCCGAAAGACGCATTTGATGGTTTATTCCCAGATCACGGCGCGGCGACTCACGCTTTACTTACGCTATTGTTTGTGACCGATATCGCGTCCTCTATCTCGACGACGAGACGGATGCCTCCGCGGATTCACGCAAGAGAACGAGAGTATTAGTAAGCTCGCGAATGACTTACGGACCGCGGCAAGCGAAATCACCTCTTTATCTCGATTCGAAAGTTCGTGCGCAGCGGGCGTTCCGTTACGATATAAATTGCCGACTTAGCTGCGCTAACTATTTATCTATATGTATATACGCCGTGCCATCGATCGTGATAGTCGACTTCGCTACACCTAGACCCGTTCCTCTGGCGAAGTTGTACTTATAATCCTTATGAAGTACGCTGCGATCTTTTACGTCGTCGTAGTTCCTACCCGCGTGGATTCCATCACCTTTCGTTGGAATAATTTTACGAATTTCTGATAAAAAAATCACATATAATAATTATGCATCTCGTCAGCATTTAAGAAAATTATTTAAATCGATCATAATAAGAATTATCGAGTGTCATAATTAACTGACTTAAATGAATTAAATGAATATTTATTTATAATACTTGTGAATCTTAAGAATCTGACGTAAATAATTGAGTGGCATTAATTGGAATGGAAATTTATACACAGAACACTACTATAAAACAAATCAATATTAATTTTTTAAAAATTATGTACAAGTTGCATCAATGTATCCGCAATTATAACATCACATTTTATTAACACAAAATAAAATATACACGTAAAAATAATCACAAGACTGTGATATATACTAATAATGCGGTTCCATCTTTTACTTTAGCCTTCAGTTTCATTCTTAAAGAATCAACATTTGAAATCTGATCTATAAAAACGTTTCATAATACTCTCTTTTTCCCCCAAATACTATACAAGATTCCTATCAAGCCTTGAAACTCGTTTTTTATCACTTTGTACATCCTTGTTTTATTATTAGGATAAATCTACTAATATAAACACTTCCTGCAGAGATACCTTCGATTTCGTTCCGTCGGTGCTCGCACGCAGGTGCGCGCGCGCATTCTATCCGGCGGGGTCTGTTTTAATTAAAATCAACCGCGTGGCCCCGATCACCTTTTAACCCCTGGTACCGCGCGCGCGCGCACTGGCGCTGGTCTTGCTCACGTGCGTGTCCCACGTGTTTTTACGACGCGGAATTATTGCTCGCCTCGCTGTTTATTAAATTGAATTGTGTCGCACCGCGTCGTCACCCCGTGGCAGTGGCTCTTTATCGGACTCCTTTCTCTCCTGCCGCTCCATTACCACCAGCAATTAACTAACCGCTCATTAGGAAGCCGCGTGCACGACCATTCGCGCGCCAATCAAAGAACGGCCGACCTGTCGGCTCGCTACGATTATAATTGCGGTACGTTCGTCTTCGCTGTTTGCAGTTTTCCACGAATAAAAAGATGATACTGACGGAAGAGTTAAAATGATTAATAATAAACATTCAAGAAAAATGAAATAAAAAATTTTAGCTTGCACTAAAAAATATTTTGATCTTTAAGTAATGAAAATGGATCGATTTTTAAAAAATCCTTGCAGTTTGTTTTAGTTTTGCCCCAAAAATGTTATCCTTTAAAAATACACTAATAACGAAGAGTTGTTAAGAAATAGACTGTACAAATGCAGATTGAAGTTATCTTGATTCTTGGTTGACATCTAATCGATTGCATATTATGAACTTACGTAAATGGCATGATTAAACTACTTAATTTGAGAAATAGATTTTTAAATCAATTCTTTCTTAACGATAATAGTCTCGACAAGATTTTGCTAATTTCTACGACCGCGCATTTCGTGAAATTCTCGAGATGATCGATCGCATCAACTCTGGAGTGATATCCGGATATGAATCCGGAGTAATGCGGCGAAAACTCATCGTCTGTATACCGTGGAGTATCGCGGCGAAGAGGAGAGAGCGTGGAGTACTCGATCTCAGCGGGACGGCTACTAATAGGATTTTCGTGATCAAGTCCGTCGGCACTTTCGACTCGGCTGACTCCTCATTCCCATAAGGGAGGCAGCCCGCGATATCTGCCTATATCGAGCGTCGCGCGTGTGTGCGCGGGCCGCCATTGTGCCACAGATCGTGGATCCGCCGTAACTTAGATCCGCGCTCCCTACGTTGACCTCAAGGTGCATCGGTCTCGTTGCAACGTGCATGTTACAGAATTTGCGTAATCACGTATCATCGGTCCGAGGCCTCCCCCCGCCGTTCCCGATCCGCGCACGTTTCCCCTCTCCGTTCTTCTCTCTGCATCGCGCTACGTAATCTTGTCGTTCCACACGTGCACGTTTTACGTGGTACGTACGTGCGCCGCGAGATGTATCCAATAAACAAGAGAAACTTACCATGCCGTTCCATAAGCATTAGTCCCGTCACGTTTATGGTTGCTCATACACGCTCTATCAATAAGAATCTGCGTAACCGTCTGCATACTCTCGGATGGATCTTGATTTCAGCACGTGGTATAGCTAATCGCTTATGCTTTACCGAATGCCGTGCTGATCGTGCTGTCTTTCGTTATTACACGCGTGTATTGTAACGCGTGAATTAACGCGAACATAGAAAAATATATATATTTCTGCTGTCGGCGAAAAGTAGTTAATGTTTTTATGCTAGATTGCTAGAAGATTGATCTCATGAGGCATCTAATCGTATATGACATTAATGGAGAAAGTACGATTGATGTCTTGAAATTTAAATTGGCTGCAAAGAGAACTTACAGGAGGAAATAGATTTTTTCTAATGAGGACATTTTAGTGACAATTCGTTCCGCAATGGCGAATATGATATAAATATTCATATATATTTAAATTGTTGTAGATATTAAAATATCCTCCGGTAAAAGACTAATACTAATATTTTTTAAATAGATTTAGAATTGTTTAAATATACGATCAAAACTGAATTTATATATTTAAGTCTAATATAATCTTCGCTTTTTTTCAGGATGCAAGAGTTTTTTCAAGAGGAGTGTCAGGCGGAACCTAACGTACTCGTGTCGAGGGCAGAGAAACTGTCCGATCGATCAACATCATAGAAATCAGTGCCAGTTTTGCCGCTTGAAAAAGTGCATGAAGATGGGCATGCGCCGGGAAGGTATGCACTGTACTGAACCCTTTTTACGTATTTATTAGCGATCGATCTCCACTGGTGATTACACGGGGTCGCCGAAATGTCTTGACAGCAATGTTCAAAGTTCACGGAGAAAAACATTGCAAGTGCCAGTTTTTGAAGAAATTTCATAGAAATTAATAAAACTTTTGACAAAATATTTCTAATAAGGTGCTGTTACGTGATAACTCTATATTATAATTTTTGTTTTATATTTTAATATACAACCAAAATTAGTTTTTTTTTTATCGAAATTAAGATCGGGCATTGTAAGATTACATTATATAAATATTAATATAATTATAAAATTTAATTAAATAAAAATATTACAGAAAATTAGGTGCTTGCAATATTTTTTTCTTCTGGGATCTTGATTTTTTCTGTCGCGCGCTTTTTACAATAAAAAGACGAAAATTCGTCGTGGTGAGATGATGTTTCTCCGATATACGGAATGAATTTGGAATAAATGTTAAAAGTAGCACAATGAATATATATATGCGTTAAAGTTAAAGTGCATGATGACGAAAATATCCAATACTTGTTCGTCATGTTGTTTTCCAGAAAAAAAACGTATATTTTGTAATTTGATTTGAAGTAATTTATAATGAAGAGAAAATTTTTATATTAAATTTTATTTTATTTTGTAGTTCATTCAAGGAACGATGCCTTTTGCGACTATCGATTAGGAAGCCACTTGCACTATGATTGCAGTATTCGGAGAAACATCACTGACAAAGTATCGATCCAATGATAACATTCGCGACTCGCTGTGATCACCCGTTAAACTCTCCGTAACACGGTCCGCAAATCGAGCTCCCTTTTCTGATTCTTGATATTACGTATTACGTATTCCGATTGAGCTGAGGAATTTCTGAAATTATATATATTACATGTAATAATACGCAACACAATTTATATATCTAGAATTATAACATCACTTACTTTCATGCGATAATTACAAGATGTTACGTCTTCAAGTTTGATGCGGAAAAACTTTCAATAGCGATATAATTAAAATATATATTATCGCGTTATAATTTATTATATATATAGTATTATTTTTACAAGCTTGTGCGGTCAATTTCTTTTACTCGCTAATCATGTGTGCGATTATCTGATCTCTCCACGACTAAGTCTCCAAATTAACTTAGGGGGGGGGGGCCTGAATACAATCGCGTTATACTATTTTATTTCGGCAATGTTTGCATCTGAAGACGTCACATTTCGAAACTGGCTTTCGGCGCGCTTCGCCGCGGCAGGAACTTTTAATTGCAGGCCGTGGAAAGGCCGGAAAGGTTCCCACGCCTTATCCCCGCCCGCGATTCCACGTTCCTCCGCTCTTGAACTTGGCTACTCGCACCGCGCGCGATAACATCTGACCTTGTTCCGCCGCGCGCACGAGGAGGAGAGGAGCGCGCTCGCTCTCTCGCTGGTCATCGGCTCTCTCGGCCTGCCCAGGTGTACAACCACTTCCGTCCGAGACGTGGCCGTCCATCGTGGCCGGCGCGGCCGTCTGTCTGCCCCGAAGCGTGCTCGCGCCGCGATCGTAAACCCGGTAAATCACGCGTTTTTACGCGTATCAGCCGCACGCGTCGACTCGCATGCGGTTATCGACGAGAGACGCGAACGGAGATCGGCGATTCTGTCGTGCTGAGAAGAAAATGTAACGAGTTAGATTAATTTGTTATTTTTCCAAATATATTAGTTGAAACTATCATTCTGAACTCTTTTAGAGTACAGCAGCACGTAACACATCAGATTATCAATAACGAAAAAAAATGAAAGATCGTTTAGAAGGTGCAAGAGACATTATTTTGATTACTGCTATCGTTTTAAAAGTAATCTTGTTTCACATTATGTATTATGCTCTCAAGATAGGCTTTTGCTGATCGCTTTCTTGAAGATCTCGCATCATGTTTCGAAATTACTTTGAATTACAGGCATATATATATTTAACAATTTAATGATAATCTTGAAATATCTTTTGAATTACAATCTTAATAATGTAATCTCTATACATGAAATGGAAGTACGTAGGCGTGCTTTATTCTTAAAACGTAATTTATTAAGATTCTTAAATATTTTCTCGCTGGTATCTTTTATTACAAATTATCGAAACCTTGAGACCGGAACGGCTGTCCTTCGTTTTGATCTGGCCTCTTTCGTATGTGAATCGCAGAAAGCGCACGAACTTCCCAAAGGCACATTCTCGAATATCGTGAGCCACATTGTACTTCATGAAAGAGAAGCTCGCGCACGATTATTCGCACGAGAGCCGCCGGCTCTCCTGCCCGCGGCGCAGTTTTTCCCACAGGAACGTAGACGCGAGAAGACGTCGCGTTTTCTGCCCTGTCACAGCGACATCCGCCTATTATCCGCGATGATGCCCCGGTCTTTGATAATAATTCGAGTTGCTCGCGAGCGCGGGGCACGTAACTCTGTATACACTCACCTGGTCTCTGCCATATACGTTCGCACGAAAGATTCACGGGAAGGAAAGAGGGAAAGAAAAAGAACAGTGGAAGAGAACGAAAGAAGCAGAAGAAGAAGAAGCAGAAGAAGAAGAAGAAGAAGAAGAAGTAGAAGAGGCCGAAGAAAAGAAAAGTGCATGAAGGGCGGAGGGCCGCGGAGAAAGAGGATGACGAGAGCAAGGGGGGTTGCCGGCACCGCCGGCAGGAGCAGCAGCAGCAGCAGCAGCAGCAACGGCAACAGCAGCAACGGGAGGAGGCAGAAGAGGCGAGAGGTCGTGGATGATGGAGGGGGAAGGGTTGAAGGCGCGAGAGGAGAGAAGAAACAAGGTGGAGTGAAGGTGGTGGAGCAACGAGAAGAGGAGCGGGAAGGAGGGAAGAGGACTAGAGAGAGCAAGAGAGAGAGAGAGACAGAGAGGGAGAGACGATGGTCCGAGGTCAGCGGGGTGCATGACCTTACCTCGGGGCCCCTTCCTTCCGTGGGGCCCTCGAGGCAGACAGGATGCGCTGAAGATTACCCCGTAGATACTGTCCGCGATGATTACAGAAATCTAGGAAGCCGCTCAATTTAATTAACCCTTAATTGCGAGCGCTCGGGACGGGATGGTGCGTTTACTCCGGTATCCTGGCGCTTTTCCCCCGTCCCCCTTGTCTATTCGAGGACGATGATGATGATGATGATGGTGGTGGCGGCGCGGCGGTTGTTCCCCATGTGTATGAGCGCGCGACGATGCGTGAGTTATCGTTCCGCGAAACGAAGTGCACTTTCTTTCAAAGACGAACGTTGGTCGGAAGGGATGTAGACCAACTGTTGGCACAGTGTGCAGTATAGGTACAGTTACGTTGCAGATCCTGGAGTTTGTTAGACATTGGCATTTTCTAAACGTTATTAAACACTTACTACACAACTTGAAATCCGATAGTTTATGAAAAGCGTTTACTTGCATATAAAACATAGATTTATATATCTATTTATTGATAAATAATGATTAAGGCAGCGAAAAACGTAAAAATGATGTAATCTTCATAAGGCCTTAGGAAAGACACGCACGATACTTCAAAGTTAATATCTCACATTGTTATTTATCGGTATTTGTAATATGAAACATATCTATATTTTCAAAGTATTTATATAACAGAGAAGTTTAGTGAATTTAAAAGAAGTAAAGCAATTAAAATAAAAAAGAACTAATATGGGCAACCGCAGATAGCGCAATAAGGAAATCATAAAAATTCTGGAAATACAAGTTCTTTTATATATTTTTATGGATTTCTTATCGCATCATCACATACAGTTGGCTTATATCAATCTCTTTATTGGGTACAGGTTTTTTTCCACATTTTTTCCAAAAAGTTAATCAATGGTTCTTTATGCATTTGAATTACCCTACGTATTTTATCTATCTCATGACATATATAGTTCATTGTGATGACGGCCAGAGTTTTTTATTACTATAAATAAGTTTTTATTACAATGAAAAAAAACGTCTTATTAGTCAATTTTTGTTCGCTTCGTGAATCACAGAATTGAAGATCAGCTTTATCGCCGAGCGCTCTTCAGTTGGTCGCGTAACTATCGAGTGTACCCATCGCGATACCCCGATAGCGATTCGCGACTAGAAGGCCCCGTTACGTACTTAATACGCTCGTTAAAACGAGGAACTTGGAAACGCATTCGCTCGCGGACGCGCACGTTTCTTCCATACCTTCACAATAAATCTGCACTGTTTATTTTACAACCCGCAGCCGTTAGTTCGCGCCTGCTTTGATATCTTTGCCTAAAGAAAAAGAAGAATAAAAACAGCGCTCAACATCCTGTGCGCCAAAATGGCTCCGTCTCTTTAATTTATGCGCGTGCTAAGGTAATTAACCCATTTAGGGACACGGATGTACTTCCATTTCGTGCCGATAATATTGAAAAAATCGTGGCGCTAAATGTGTGAGAAGTTAAATTTTCTATGTTCCTTCTTCTCTGACTATAAATATTTAATGGATAGATTCAATTTTATAATAACCGAAATAAAATAGCGAAATAAGTGCTATAAAAGTGAAAAGATTTATTATTTAGTGTTTAGTTTTAATATTTTACCACTTTTTTTCTTCGCAATATTATTTCGAAACTTTCAAAGGCAGTTTTATATATCTGTTTGATTATTTTTGGAGGTCTCTATGTACCATGATTATTATTTAATACATTGCGTTGTTTATGAATATATTAATACATATGTTAACGGAAAAGTTAACACGAGGAACATAAATCACTTTTCTAAAAAATATTAAGAAACTAATTGGCATGCTTCTACTAATTGGTATTTTTCTATTTTGAGAAAATTTACGATAGTTTATTTATTTATTATATGGATCAACGACGCAACTTGAAAAATATGGTGAAATTGTACAAGCAAACGATTACTTAACATTATTAATTCCATCGATTTCAGAAATTATTTTAACGGTTTCTTCTCTTTTTCTCTTTCATAAACGAATCCATTTGCCATAGTATTACGACATTTTTCCCACAATGAG